TAGACAACAACTGCTACTTAAACTTATATGGAGACGAACAAAAGAAATATTTAAGAGTTTATGAAATGACAGATATGACATTGCCTGACCCAGCTCCAGCACCATATATTATGACTATGGAGATGACGTCAGAACACCACATGTAGATGAACAAAAGCTAACATTATATTTAGATTATTATAGATATAAAAGATATAATGCAATAGAAAAACGAGAATAGTATACTATTATGAAGATGACAGAAATAAATATTATAGTCAAGATTTTACCTACCCTGAAAACATAAGATTATATTATAAAAAATATTCTGACACAAACCAGAAGAAACCTGAAATAGTTGCACTATATTTTAAGTTCAAAAGAGACAATCCTATAATGTCTCATATGTTTGATTTAATGAACCCAGTAGGTTCTATTTATACATCTATGGAAGCAAGAGGTCCTCAAGTAATGTTGGTGTTGGTGCATGGGAACAAAATAGTCGACAGGTTTTTGTATTGTGCAAACTCTTCAAAGGAAACAGGTGGAAGTAAAACGATTTCAGGTGAAAATTTACCTGCACACAGTCACTACATAGATTTAAGTACATCTCAAGCAGGTTGGCATAAGCATAGATATTGGGATTGGTCAGGAATGACAAAAGGTAAAGGATATGATGTTAAAGACGACGTTAAGTTTGCTATAAATTGTTACTGGAGTGACACTCAGGGAGAAGGAAACCATACACATTTCGTTTCAGGATATACGCAAACAACGGGACAAAGTAAAGAATACATGCCACCTTACATGACAGTTTACGCATGGTATAGAATTGCTTAGTCGTCATTTTCAACTTCTTTAGCATATTCGTCAGGAGTTGTCTTATATTTGTTAGGAACTGTCTTTGAAAGTATACCACCTTGAACTTTGACAAGTTTGAAACGAGGTCTGACAATAGTAGTTTTATCTTCTGCTTGCAGTCTGTACATTTTGCCATGTTTGCCTAAAACTTCATAATATTCTCTTGTATACTTTCTTCTATTTTTACGAACACGAATGTGAGTACCTGTCGGGTTCCCATTGTTGTCATAGTCAATAGTATTTTCATATGGGTCGCGTTTAGGTATTTTCTATTTTTACTTTGTCGCCTTTCTTAAGTTTGAAGCCCGGCATTCTTTCTTGTTTGTCTCTTTTGACTAAATTATTAAATATATAGTCTTTTTCTAAGTCAGGGTTGTTTTTCATTTCTTCGGGGAGTGGTTTCCCAAACCTTTTTGTTTACGGCTATTGTAAATATTTAAAACTTGTCTCATCTTTTGCCATGGAGAAGTGTCTATATTTGTCGTCATATGACATTTCATTTGCTTCACCACCTTGTGGTTGGTTTAAGTCTCTTAACATTTTTATACAACCGTCAATGACACCAAGAGCAGAATGGTTTTGGTCGACGATGGAAATATTGGTTTACATTTTTTGAACGCAGATAGTTTTTACATCATCTGATTTGAAAGAACTTTCACAGTCAGATGTCAGTTTTGTTGGATGGTATTTGTCAACGAATATTGTCAAAGCTGCTAAGATATCTAAAATAGCTTTGGACTGTAATGGTATGGCTTCACAGTATCTTGTGTTTTGACCAACAAATATTAGCCAGTATGGAGGTCCATCTGTTCTAACTCTCGGAATGTTTTCCAAAATATCCATAAACCAAGCATTTGGTGTTGAACTAAAGATTTTTATCATGAGTGCTTTCTTTGTCGCTTTAGAAACATAGGGGTCCTTGTTTGGATTCGTCATTTTTTACCCTATAAGAAATGGGTTTATTGGCGCATTAGCAGGAGTTGCATCTAGATTTTTACCCGCAGTGGGAACAATAGCCAGAGGTGTATTTGGAGTTGGAAGGAAGATTTGAGTACATTAGGTATACTTAAAGAGAAAGCACAACCTATTATACAAACTGTACAGAAAGGTTGGGATGTAGCACGAGATGCAAAAATCTTATTCCAAATCCTGAAACAAGAGGAAAAGTTCAAGGATGGATGGACAATGTAGGAAGACAAGCAGGAAACTATTATAACAAAGCAAATGACTACTATAACCAAGCAGGACACTATATGGACCAAGGTGAAAGATTCTTTAACAGAGGATATAACCATGCACAACAATGGGTAAACAATAACCAACCGCAACCACCTCAAACTTGGGGAATGTAAAGTTTTTTACTGAGATGAAATGAACAATACAGCATTGAGACAAATGGGTTCAAGATGGATTTGTCGACTTCCAGCAGTTACACAACGTGTTTGTCAAGTTCTTCCTATACCTCAGGAAGTTTTAGACCGACTTAAAAACCTAAACAACCAGTTGAAAACAAACCAAACTAAAATTTTTTACTGAGATGAAATGACCGAAGAAGTTGAAACGGTAGATTTGACACCACAAACAAAAAGTTCAGAACCATTGTCAAAACCTGTCAAAGAACTTACCGATGAAGAGAAAAATTCAATAATAGAAAGTGCCAGGTCTGGAAATACAAACCCTAACTATAAAGTCACTTTTCATAGAAATGGAACGGCTAGTATCTCAAAAAAGAAACAGACTCTCACAAATAAAATATTGAAGTCTGAAGGAGCTTTCGAGACAACAGATGGAAAAGTTTACTTCACTGACCAACAGTTCATTATAGAACATCTCATTGACTTAGAGTCGAAATATTCTAAACTTTACAACAAACACAAAAAGTTGGAAGGAAAACAAAAACAAATGGCATATGATATTTATGAAGATGTTGACGACACAACTGTTCCTGCAGGTGAGGTAAAGTCAGAGGAACCGAAAAGTGACGAAAAACCGATAGAAGAAGAGAAACCAAAAACTGAAGATAAACCAAAACCAAAGTTTAGTTTGGAAACTAAACCAAGTCAACCTTCATTAGCTGGTATGGGTTGGCGTCAAAGACTTATGGCAGCAGGCGGTTATGTAAAGTAAAGAAAAAAACATTTTTTTATTTTTATAAAAATGCCCCCATATAGAATGGATAGAAAATCTGCTAGAATAAAAGCAGAGTTGCAAAGATATGGTTGGAGAGTTTCGAAGAATTTTAAATATAGGAAGGGAAGACCCATAAAAGTCTATGACAAACTGGCTGGTCTTCGCTACGAAATGGATTTGGAAACAGCACGTGCCAATTATCCAAACAGACTAGAGAGGTTAGAAGAAGAACGTCTTATGGACATGCCTTTCGATGTGTTAAACATTGCATGAAATAAAAAATTTATTTTAAAAAAGTGACATTTTTTAATTTTATTTGAAATGTACGCTGAGTTTGTTGGAGAAGACCGTTGGGAAACTTGTTTGTTAGATGAGAAATATGAAATGGCATACCATTTTAAAACAATATAGTTTTACATATATTAAATGCTTCAGGTTGAAAAACAAAGAACAAAAGTAGCAGATACAAAACCGTTAGACTATATCTTTACAAATGCTGGTAGGACTATTTCAATGAAGAAATTTCATCCCGAATATACAGGTTTGACTATCCAATTCGTTGGCTTCAAAGTCCTTCAGATGCAAAGGCAATAGGATTTAGAAGAGTTTTGTTTTCAAATAGAACTAACGCATTTATGTTCGCAGTATATTTTCATGGGCAGTATAAAGGTTCTGATGGTCTAATAGACAAATTTGACGAAATGAGAATCTTTACAGTTCGTTCAGACGAAAGTCTTGAGAAACTCTAAATGACTTTCAAACTCAAATGAACAAATATTATTGGAATTTCAAGAAAAATACGACTCTTTACTAAATGGAACATACTATCTGAAACTAGAATATGACAAGATGAACTCCACCGTTTCATTTCAAAAGATTGAAATTAACCCTCCAAGAGATACAGAGTTTTTATTTTGGGAGGTAGACAAACGTTCTTGGGCACAATTTCTTCGGTTACTAAACCAGAACGAACCATTACCACCAGATGGTCCATTTCAATTTATACTTCCACCAGCAGATTTGACAGTTTATAGAAACGTGTTTGACTCAAAATGTTATGTGTCATGCAAGTTTCAGTTCAAGCAACAATAGTTTTCTATGTATTGGTAAGGACTTTTATGACTTTGCTTCTAAATTCTACGAACCACCTAGTAACAGTTTCTCTGACTTTCAAGTTTGGTTCACAACAAATGGTGTGCAACATATTATTCCATTGTACTATGACTTTTATCTCGAATTGTCTTTCATATATAACTACGGAAAAGTGCTGAAAAAGTATTGAAAAATACTTTTAGGTGAAGAGGTGAGATCTCACCTGTTTTCTCACCCTCATGAATTTGTCAAAACTTCTTCGTAATGAGTGTAAAGGACCCAAAAATAATGTTTAGGGTAGAAGGTTAGATCTAACCTGTTTTCTAACCTGTTTTCTAACCTCTTGAATTTTGTATTATTCTTCACAAAATGCTTGTTTTGAGGTCGAGCCACTTTTGGCTCCATCGTATTCTTTCAACCAAAACTCATGAATTCAGCAAAAATATAATTTAGGGTAGAAGGTTAGATCTAACCTCTTTTCTACCCTCATTTCTACCCTCTTGAATTTTCATGAATTTTCCCGAAATAAAAAATAAAGTTAGTTTTTTTAAAAAAATATTTTTTATTTTTATTGTAAGAACATGTTAGCAACAACAGCACCAAACTCTTTAGTTATGAATCCAACATCTATGTTAGTAGAAATGAAAAGCTTCATTCCTTCTTCATATACTTTTGAAACAGAAATCCAGAAGATAAAGCAAGAACTTTTAACATCTAATTTAAACTGTAGTGCGAAAGATGAAACAAATGAACAGTATCTTTATGAAATGCAGGACATTATTGACCATTTGCCTAAACTACCTGAAATTCAGCAACAAAAACTAACCATTCCTGAATTCGATGAAATAGAAGTCAAAGCAACTGACTCAGTAGAAATAAAGAAGTTCATACGAAAGGTAAACTATGAGTTTCTAGGATTTCATTGCAACCATAAGGTTATGGACAAAGATTGCGACATGGTATATAAGAACATCTCTGACCTTTACAAAACCCGGGAGTTTAAGACCTACGACAACTTTGTTTCGTTAGTTGCTGAATGTGTATGGCAGATAAGAGATAAAGATAGAAGAGGTAAGGTATGGAATGAACAGATAAGACCAACTGCTTCAGATTTAAAGAAAACCATTGACGCTTTAGTTGTTTTAGCAGGTAAGGTTTCAGAATATAACGCTAAAATGAACCCGCAATGTTCAAAATGTAAGGCAGCAATTAGGAAATATAACTACTCCGTCAAAGAGATAGAACGTATGAGAAACGACTATGCAGACTTAAAGAAAGAAGCAGAGAAACCAGCAGAAGATAAAATGGACATGTTAGAATTTCTGAACAAAAACTATCCAACTGCTGACGATTTCCTTCTATCTGACGTCAAGAAGAAGTATAAAGAAACTTTCGGCATAGTTAAAACATTCGATATCCTCAGCGAAGAAATAGAGGCTACAAAACTGTTTAGGATTTCAAATATACATCGTACAATTCATGTAAAACGCTTATAAAATAACTGAGGTGAGAAAACAGGTGAGAAAACGGGTGAGATCTCACCTCTTCACCTAAACTTTATTTTTACTGAATTCAGCAACAAAATTCTGAGTAAAATAATTTTTAGGGCTTGTGTCAAACCGTTGAGTTTTCACAAAATTTAAAAAATAACGTTTACCATGTAAAACGCTTATAAAATAACTGAGGTGAGAAAACAGGTGAGAAAACGGGTGAGATCTCACCTCTTCACCTAAAATATATTTTTGTCTGATTTAAGCTCATTACGAAGAAGTCTTGACAAAACATATACGTTCATGTTTGACAAAACATGTACGATGAAATCATGACAAAACATGTACGATGAAGAAGTCTTGACAAAACATTTACGAAGAAGTCTTGACAAAACATTTACGAAGAAATCATGAAAATTCATGAGGGTAGAAAACAGGTTAGATCTAACCTTCTACCCTAAAATATATTTTTACTGAAAAATGACCAAAAATCTGAGTAAAATGGCATAAGATTGCTACCCTCGGAAACAGTGAAGAACAGCGAGTACGTATGAAAATCGTGAAATTTCTCTAGACCGGATTTTACCGGCCTTGCCTAAAACACATGAAAATCGTGAAGAACAGCGAGTAGGGAAAAAAACCTGGTCTTGCATAAAACTCATGAAAATCGTGAATTTCCTTAAGACAGAAAAAATAAAATTAGTTTTTTATAAAATATTTTTTTTATTTTGTATGTAAGAACAGAAATGACAAACACTGAGTTTGAAACAGTTAAAAAGATAGACAATGACACCAAATTGGTTAGAATAGGTGATTTAAACGTAAGATACTCAAAGAAATACAACAAATATTCTTTGTCAGACATTATATCTCCATTTGGAAAGAAAACATGGCATTGGGTTGGAATTGCTTCTACTCAGAAAATTTTGACAAGAAATCCTGAGCTTATGATATCGGTAAGATTCTATGGAACTACAGCATATCTTATAGACAAAAGTCTTATACCAATAGTTTTGTTATGGTTAGACCCAGTTGTTGGATATAACTTCATAACATATGGTTCGTTCGACTCAGAACGTTGCAGTGAAGGCTTACTTTACATCGTTCAGAAACCGAAGGACTTCAATACAAAGAGATATAAGATAGGAAGAACATATAATATAACTCAAAGATATGACAGTACAGTCAATAGAGTCAAGGTTGTGTTTGTTAACGATATGAGAGCTGCTGAAACAGAACTACTTGAAAAGTTTGAGAAAATGTATGGTGCTCCCACGAAAGGTAAAGAAACGTTTGAAGTAGATGAGATAGATAAAGCTATAAAATTATTTGACGAAGTTGCTGAAAAATACATGTAAAAATAACGTTTACCATGTAAAACGCTTGTGAAAAAAACAGGTGAAAAATTAGGTGAAAAAACAGGTGAGATCTAACCTTCTACCCTAAAATATATTTTTGCTGAATTCAGCACAAAAATCTGAGTAAAATGGCATAAGATTGCTATCCTCGAAAAACCGAGGATAGAGATTCCGTACGAAAATCATGAAGAACAGCGAGTACGTAAGAAACCTTAGTCGCCAAAACTCATGAAAACAGTGAAATTTCTCTAGACCGACTTTTTCCCTACTCGCCAAAACTCTATGAAAACAGTGAAATTTCTCTAGACCGGATTTTACCGGCCTTGCCTAAAACACATGAAAATCGTGAAGAACAGCGAGTAGGGAAAAAAACCTGGTCTTGCATAAAACTCTATGAAAATCGTGAGTTTCCTTAAGACAGAAAAAATAAAGTTAGTTTTATTTTTATTTATTTTTTTATTTTGTATGTAAAGACAGATATGTCAACAACAGAGAACACAACAACTGCTATCGTTCATGAAGCTATAAATGAAGAATATGAGTACATACAGTTTAACAAACAACTCCGTCTCATTCGTTCGGTCAAAGACGATATGTACCAAATGCAAAGTATTTTGACAGCATGTTTTGCTCCAGATACTAAGCTTCCTAAAGACTGGTTTAGGAACCAAAGCACCAAAGAACTTTTGAGCGAAGCACAGCGAGACATACTTTTTTCTGAAAACAGTGAAGAACAGCGAGTAGGTAAAAAACCCCAGTCGCCAAAACTCTATGAAAATCGTGAAAAATTGCCAAACGGTTTAAGAGGATATTATGTACATAGACTTCTTGTAAATGCTGTTGCAATGTGGGCTTCGCCTCGTTATGCTTGGTATATTTACAGACTTCTTGACGAAATTCATAGACAAGAACGTGAAGAGCTAGAGAACAAGCTTGAAGCAAAAGACAAAAGCATTCAGAAAAGAATACCACGTTCGGTACCAAAAGGAAAGGAAAAGAACTATAAGTATATGATTTATACTGAAGAGATGGAAAATGAAGAAGACAGAGATATGGTTATGTTGCATTTAGTCAGAAGAAACAACAAAAGCTTTTACGACCTTGCTAAGATTTACAAATCTGACAGAAATTGGTTCTATCGCGAAAACTTACCGATTTCAATGACCCCAAATGAAGATGTGAAACAAATAGTTCAAGATACGTTACCTCAAACACACTATGATATTAAAGGTTGTACAATTCTTACCTTCAAAGAAGATTTGCCATTGTTAAAGGAAAAAATAACAGAGTATTTTGACAACTTCAAACAAGTAGAGTAGATGAGCCATTTATTTTTCAAGCTTGACTTCAGATGGCTCAGGTAGCTCTATAAAGTAAATTGCCTCGTCAAATCCTTCTGGCATACCGAGTCCTTCCTTCCGACAGAAAAATATTTTCCCGACAACTGGAAAAAGTTTTTCCTTCCGACAGAAAAAATTTTTCCATCCGACAAGAAAAAATTTTCCAGTTGTCCGTCCGTAAACCATTCAAATTTTCGAAAATTGAGAACTTTTTGGTCGAACTTCAGAAAAAAATTTTCCATCCGACAGGAAAAATTTTTCCATCCGACAGGAAAAAAATTTTCCTTCCAACAGGAAAAGTTCTTCCATCCGACAGGAAAAATTTTTCCATCCGACAGGACACAAACGGATGACTGACGTTCCTCTTCCTGAATGCCTTCCAAAGCCAGAAGAACCGACAGCCCCAGCACCACAACAGACTTACTAAGACTAAACACTTAGATTTTTCAAGCTTGACTTTTTACAATTTGAACTTTGTTCGCATAGATATGAATTCTGAAAGAAGTATGAGGGTCTTGTATGACTTTGTACTTCTCCCATAGTTCATGTCTGTCAAACTTACCTGCCATGGACTCTTTCATAAGTTCCATGAAATCGTCTTCGGACAATCCGGGGAAAAGTACAATGTCAGTAAGTATTCTCTTTACATCCTTACTTAAACTCTTTGCTGTCTGTACACAAATGACAACTGAGATGTTAAAGTGTCTGAGCTTCTTAAGAATTCGACACATATCTTGTTCTCTATTCTTTAACAAAGGATGAGAGGCGAAATCATCTAAGATAAGAAGACATCTATGAGGGTAGGTCTTCCAATCGTAAGATTGCAATTTCTTCGAAATGTATTCTATCTCTTTCTGTTTGTTTCTGAAGTTTTTCTTCTCTAATATTCTCTGCATTTCCTCATTAGGTTCTTTAAACTTAGAATTTATATACTCATTTATAGCATTATACTTCAAAACTCTTCTTTGGTACTTCTTTATCCAATCTAACAACTCAGTATCCTTTATACATACTAACTTAGACTTCTTTATAATATCTTTGAACGAATTGACGGTTTGGTCAAATTGACCAGAAGTACTACAAATGACAACTAACTCATAGAATGGGTTCTTCTCATCTAGTTCTTGTTGTTGTGCAGCCATTTTAAGATAAGTGAAAGTCTTACCCGACCCAGGTGGTGCAATTAGACCTGTTATACCATTCTGAGCAAATAAGAACTTGTCATGTATAGGTTTTATCTGAGCATTTTCTAACTTCCTCTTGTTCTTGTTTAAAACATTCTCAAATTTCTTGTCAATGTCAGCAAACTTTTTTTCTAACATATTTTTAGAAAAATTAAAATTTTTATCTTTTAGAAAATGTCTAGCGATTTCGCTATCTATATTCGAGACAAGCTTTTTGACAGCAAAACATCTGTCGACCATAAAATCTTACATAGTGTAAACAAGAAAGGTGAATTTGTTCTAAAGTTCTGTTTCTGGGAATATGACAAGAACCATAAAACATTAGGCAGAGAAGTCTTTAAGTTTGTCAATGACAGACTTGTTGACAGAGATGACGCCTCTTGGAAAGATGAAGTCCAACAAAAGTTCTTAGAATGCAAAGAAGACACATGCGCTGTTCTTGAAGATGAAATAGGAAACAGAATAGATGAGCTATTAAAGGACAAAGAACTTTTACAGAAATATGGTTCGGAGAAATTTGACATAACTCCACCAGAGAAGAAGAAGAGAGAAAAGAAAGAGAAGAAAGTAGAAGAGAAGAAAGAACCTGAACCAGTTCCAGAGAAAAAGAAATTTGACATGTAAAAATAAAATTTTATTTTTAGAACATTTCTGGGTCAATGTCAATGTTCTCTTCCTCTTTAGGAGTAAACACTGGCTTAGACTCTAAAATCTTTTTACCCAATTTACCTTGAACTTCAACTATCTTAGACTCATAATATTCATAGTCGTCTGCTTTCTTTGGTTCATAAGGTATAACAAGTTTGTATGCTTTGCCTTCTTTAAGGTTTGAGAACCTTCTGTCAAAATTTTCTTTGACTGCTAACAAACCTTCTATGTCTAAGTCTTCAAATTTCGCACCATTTTTAGTCACAATAGCAAACTTAACTGGTTCGATGTTCCAAACTTTGCTGAATGAAGACTTTTCAAAATGGTAGAAGTAAACATTCAAATATGTGAATGGGTCTAGTTCTTCTTTAAGTCCTGACATGTACTTGTTTACTGAGATGAATTTTGCCATCTTTTCTATCGGATAAAAAAATATTTTTTTTAAATTTACTCATAAAAAATTTTCTTTGTATATACACCATTCTGTACGTCTAAAAGACTTTTGACATTTGCCAAGAATGTTCGTTTAGAAGCTGCCATATAACCATATTCTTGACAATATTGTTTATACGAATCGTACAATGACCTTTCATCTAAACACTCAAAGTCAGTTTCATCTAAGAACAGTTCATATACACTCTTGTTTGCTTCTAACAATGTTTGTCTCTCTTCGGTATGTGGAATTTGTCTTGGATTGAACTTAGAAATATCTAATGTCATAAAATATGAGAACAAGTGGTTGTAAAAGTCAGATGTCAAAGTTTCTGCTAAGTCGTCAAAATATTCTGTATCTTGCATATGAGAATCTGACGTTCTGACAACTACATATCTTCTGTCAGAACTTTCTAACTTCATCGGAACAACATTGTTTGAAACCATAATGAAGTTTGCAACATTTTCACAAACTCTTTGGTCTTTATATTTTCTTTCAACAACTCCAACTTTGTCTGTTATAAGACTCTTCAAAGCATCTGAGTTTAAAACTTTTGTTGTATCTATACTTTGAAGTTCGTTACATACTATAAGTTTCATATTCTCTATTGAGGAGTTAAACTTGCCACAGATGTTTTCTAAGTTTGTCATATTCGGATTCGAATAACCTTCTAACAGTTTGCACAAAATATCTGTAAAGAATGTGTTCTTACCAGTTCCTTGTTTTCCAATTATAATGAGAGCAGTTTCATTTTTAGCACTTGGATGTTGTAAGATGTTTGCAAACCAACATAAGATATACTCATAAACCTTTTCGTTTCCATTGCATATAATTTCTTTGACATGGTCTAACCAAGCTTCTATAATATTTTCTTTCCATTCTACTTGTTCATATTTATATCCAGTGAAGATAGAATAGAAGTTTGGAGAAGGTGTATAAAACTTTATACCTCGAACTGAAAAATCTTCTAACTTTGACAATAAGATATCCCAAGCATCTAACATCTTCATGCCAACTTGTACGACTTTTATTTTCTTAAGTTTCTGTCTACATTCTTGTTCTGAAACTATTGTTGCTCTTGGTTTGTTAAAGACAACATCCCATTCTTTCATGACATAACATTCTGGGGCAGAGTCGACATAAATGACTAAACGTTTCAAATTCTCGACTGCTTTGTTATAGTCTCTAAATGGACACATATTTCTGAATGCTTGGAAGTCATAAAAATCTGAAACATCTATTCTGTACATTTTTATAAAAATAAAAAAATAATATTTTTTTATTCTTGACTTTGTTGTTGCATTTGTTGCATTTGTTGCATTTGTTGTTCTTGAGCTATTTGTTGTTGAAGTTGTTCTTGTAATACAATACTTTCACCAGTTGCATCTTCCAATTCGAAACTTTCTGCCGTCATTGACAAATACATAGGACATAAAAGTTTTACAGGAACAAAGTTTGCGTCAACTAATGTCAACGTTATACTTGCCAAAGTGTTTGAGTTCACTAAGGTTGAAAATTCTGCATTCGAATGAACAATAGGCAAACCAGCAGAGAAAGTATTGTTTATACGCATAAGTATTTTTTGGTCATAATAGTTTCTGTCGACATTCGAATAACACTTTGAACCTAAGTTTGAAACAATATATAAGATTGGTGTGCTTAATGTCAATGGAATAGACATTCCTTGTATGACACCTTTTCCTGTTATAGGAAACTGTTGGTAGTAAAAACCAGAAATAAGTTTTGTATTATAGCTCATATTGTTTATAGTAAACTCAGTCGGACATCCAAACATAATGAAACCTGCTCTAGTTGCAGCACATGTTACACCCGTCCTTAAAGTATTAAATAAGTCAACAAAACCTGTTGGTGGTATATCTGAGTAAGTATCTTCAAAGGAGTATTTTTTACCATTCACAACAATAAAGTCTTCTGGTGTCAAAAGAGCAAAACAGGCTTTAGTCGTCATTGTGTTTAAGGTTAGTTTACAATATCGTCCTTGAGGACTTTGTAAGTTTGTTGTTATAGAATTATATGACTCAGGGTTTTTAGTCGTAATAGTATAAACCATTATATCTTCTGCCATTTATATATATTTAAAAGTTTTTCTGAAAGTGGAGAAGAACTTCATCTAAACTAGTGATGCGAAAAATTCCCAAACATATGGGGTTTCTCATATCCCGTCCCCTATCGTTTCCCCAATTCAATTTTTTTTTGGAATTTTATTTTTTTTCCCGCCCATTTGAATTAAAAATGGGCGATTTTCGTTAATGTGATTGAAATATCATAAAATTAATACGTATTTTAGCTAATAATTCTATTTTTATACAATATTCTCTCATTAAATCAACATTTTTTTCTAATTTTAATTTTTAATTTTTAATTTCTTCATAATTTTAGCGATTTATGCTCATTATTAGCAAATAAATAATATATATAATATACTTATTTCATTTTATTCAGATAGGTCTTTGGGATTGGGATACCTTGTCCAAATTCAGAGGAAGTTTGAGAGGTTGGGATGGGGTAGCCCATATTCAATTATCCCAAGTGTACTCCACGAATTTAAAATTATATTATATTATTGATGACATATCTAAATTTATAGATAAAAATTTCAATGCGTACACAATTTTTTTTGAGAAAATTCTTTTTTTTTACTTATTTTCATTCATAAAAGCTCACGTGAACTTAATTAACAACTGAGACATTTCCTATGAAATCATTTAATGCCGTCAAAATAGACATGTCTAAGCTGTTTTGAGTGACTTTCGCTCGATGTCTGATGCAATATCAGACATCGAGCGAAAGTCTCTCATATTGGCAACACATCCATACGATCAATACTATAGCTACGAATTACAAGCCTGTTTGGGCAATTTTTGGCCGAGTTCTGATTTTTCATTAGATCTCGAGCGAAATTCTCTCAAATTGGCTGCCAGTTCATAAGAGTGAAACTCTAGCTACGAATTAGAAGCTTGCTTGAGAGACTCTCGCTCGCGTTGGGATCTGCATCAGAACTCGAACGAAAGCCTCTCAAAGTGGTAAGACCTGCTCATTGTTGAGCAGGAGCTGCGTAATGTGTTCGAGTAGAGTGAGGCTCTTCTAAGATCTTCCTTGTGATTGGAAGAAATTAGAAGAGTCTCACTCTACTATTTTGTAATTGTATGCCATGGCCTTTGAGTGACCAGGGCTGCGTAATGTGTTCGAGTAGAGTGAGGCTCTTCTAAGATCTTCCTTGTGATTGGAAGAAATTAGAAGAGTCTCACTCTACTATTTTGTAATTGTATGCCCTGGCCTTTGAGTGACCAGGGCTGCGTAATGAATTCGAGTAGGATTGTACAATAGCTCGGCAAACGCCGAGCAAATTGATATAAACGTACATCCCACAAAAAATGGATTGTCAAAATTTATCCCAAATTTTACAAAACCGCAGCGGTTATGACATCCCAGGGCTAAAAAAATTCGGAAACTCGCATCTCTAATCTAAACTTTCACATGGCGTTTCTTGAAGTTCTCTGTCTAAGAAGTTCAAATATTTTGTAAAGACATAGAACTTTCCTTTGTCTACACGAACAAACAAAACAGGGTCTTTCATATCGTTCAAAAGTGTGTAAAGTCCTTTACATGAAATAAAGTCTATATTATTTTTCTTCAAACATCTTTCAAGAAGTTTTGACATTTTTACTTAGCAAATAAATTTTAATGAAATGTTGTGGTCGTCAAATATTTTTATGACGTCTGGGAAACTATACTTTAAGTTCAACGTTTCACCTCCTTTCATAACGTATATCTTGTCAATGACATTATATGAAACACCACAGCAACTAATGTCGGGTTCTATTTCTTTGATGTTTATATCGTCTGCCTCTGTCAAAAGTTTCAATAGTTCTTTCAAAACTTCATGAGGTGCAATGACATATGAGTTCACTTTTACAGGGTTGTGTTCGACCAAGTTTAACATTATACTTAAAGCCTGACAAATCTTCTCCTGAGTTTGAAGTTTGTCTTTCAGTTGTTGGTAGTCGTTTCGAATATCTGCAACAGAACTTAAGTCTCTGCTAACTTCAGGATATGTTGGTTCTTTTACAGGAACAATTGTTATACCATCTTCGTCTTCGTATGGTTTCCCCACTTCAACATCTCTGTCTTTGACATTGACAACAACACTTTGACTGTTTGTTTGAGTTGGTGAATTTAACTTCACATCTGCCACCGCCATTAAACCTTTTGAAACACTCACGCTTCTATTTTTCGGAAATGACATTTTACTTAGAATAAAAAGATGGACGTATTCGAGTATCTCTTCGAATTGAAGCAGAACAAAGTTTACACACACAAACAATACAAATACATTGACAGAATAGTTCTTTATACAAACAATGGTAAATGTTATAGAATAGCAATATTTGCTGAACCAAAATATTTCCATAAAGCAAAGAAAGTTGGTATAACCGAGATGGTGAAAGTTCTTGACGTTGACAAAAATATAACAACAAAACTTACAGATATTTCTAAAGGTAAGTTTATCTTACAATATTATGTCAAAACTGGCGTACTGTCAATATTTGACGGAGAGAAGTCAGTTCAAGAACAACTTACTGACCTGCTGCCAAAAATCTGCTCGATGGAAGCTGTCGTTATGCCAATCTGAGGAGCCCCAGCAGGTTTCATCGAACGAATCTTCAAAAGAGCATCTTCCGTGAAAAGTGCTATTGGTTTTGTAAACTTCTTTGCTCTCAGTTCATCTGGACCGTCTCTGTCACCAGTATATTGTATTTGCTACAGTACCAACAGTTGAAATACCACCCATAAAGTCTTCTGAGTCAGCAAATGGAATGCCAAGCCAAAAGTTTGAACGGTCTCCATTTGTATATTGAGTTTTTTAACCTCCTGTATGAGTCCATACTTTCACATATGGCATAATAGAACTTTGCATTTCAGGGTTAATGGTCGTTGTGAAGTTGTTGTTAAAGTTCATAGCATCTAATGTCAAGTTGTATGACCTCATATCCTCAACTGTAGAATATTCTTCTCTTGGATAATATTTGCCATCTATGTTTATATGATATTTAATACCGGGGTTGTAGAAACAAGAATAGTCATTTATAGTTCGTCTGAACAGTACAAACATAGTATCTGCATGTTTCATTGCAGTTGTTAAAGCAATATCTGTTCTTGCACCTGGGTCAGCACTTTGGTTTCCAACTTCACCTGCAAAGTCTTTGACAGATATTTGGTGTATAGGGAACATAAGTGGAACTGCAATATATTTGGCAGCTAAAGCATTTGAAATATCTGGGTCCAACATATAGACTGCAAGTCTGCTTTCTATTCTCTTGCATTCAAACTTTTCGCATGTGAACTTAACTGGGTCCCAAGCAGTTCCAGCAGCATTGAAATAATAGTTTACTTCATTGTTGAAGTTTGAGAAACCAAAGTCTAAGTCAACTTTGTCTTTGCAAAAGTCGGCGAATGACGTTTTATTTGTTCCCATTACGTCTGTAAGAGTGAATGGGTCTTGTGTTGGTGCAATGACTAAGTTATTTTTGCTTGGAGTAAGTTCAATAGAAATTTTTCCTGCCCAGTTTGGCAAGTATCTTAAAAACCTGAAGATGAGGAAAGATGACAAAGGAACTCTAAGTTTCAGTTTTACTTAGTGGCAGCAGTTCCATCTGAACCAGAAAGGTTAACATAAACTCCTGGAACGTTAGGGTCAAGTCTTCTTATTTTTTCAATATTTGCATACTGGTCTGTTTGTTCTCTAGCTTGTGTTGTACTGAGTTTCTTTCAAAGCGAACCATTCATGTTTGCCCATGTTACTGTTTGAACTAAGTCAGAGTTAGAAATATATCTTATATCCCATGAAAACTTCTGGAGCATATTGGTATCCGACATAGAAAATTCCATTGCAACCTTTCTTGTCAGACAACTTGTGCAGAAGGTTTTATTTCAATGTCTTGTTCCACGTATAAGAATGAGTTGTCAATAGAAATAATATGAAACCTGTCGCAAGCAATATCTACTGTTGTTGAAGAACCTTCACCAAACTCACCTACATTTCCATAAGAAACAGCAGTTGTATATTCGTAAGTTCCAGGAACTATTTCTGACCTTCTAATGGCATTGTCGCATTCGTTATACCATTCGGAACATTTCCGTTCATGGCATCCAAAACTGTTGGCGTTATATTCTGAGCGGCGTACATTTCATATGGGTAAAAATATAGAATAGTTGGATTTATATATCATAATAGAACCCACTCGGACCAAGCTTTACTTTGTTCTACTCTTCTTCTTTGGTGTCGCTTTTGGTAACTTGCCCTCTGCTTCAAGTTGTTGCATCTTTGCCTCATGTTCACCTAGTATGTTGTAAATTTCCCATGTCCTTTTTGCCTTTGGGCTCTGGTCGCCCAACTCAGGTAACCTATATCCTAGAAAGATTTTGTCATAGTTTGTATTTGAGTCTTCGCGTATTGTTTGCATGACTCTTTCCTGAGTTTCCGGTTCAAGCTCTTCAAACAGAGCTTGTCCATATGGAATAAGCTCGTTTCCAAATATATGTTTTTGTAGCCATTCTGGTTTTCTTTCCATGTTACCAACAATATCTTTTGTGAATGGGAAAGCTTTTACCCAATGTTTCAGTCTTGCGTCATTTATTTCTGTAGTTGGTTTTATTTTGTCAAGGAACATGTTTTTCAATACTAACATTTCATTTGGTACTGTCCATTTGAGTTTTCTTAAATATTCATCCCTTCTCGTTCATTGTCTGCAAAGTAAGTTTTTATGACATTTTGTAAACTTTCGTTTGCAAGGTCATGTACAATAGGTTCTCTTCCTTCTCTCTCCCTAACTTTCTTTCTAAACTCTTCACCAAATATACCATCTCTATGGTTCTGTGTAGTTCTTTGAGATAAATGTTTTAGAACGTCAGGTGTTATATTTCCATCAGCCATGTTCATTCATACTGGTCCAAAATATCTGCATCTTTCATATCTTTCAATGGCATTAAAGCCGCGCTGAAAATACCAGCTACATCTGGTTCACCATTCACTTCCATTGCGTCTACAACTTCTTGGAATTGAGGTTGTAAGTTTATGAACCACCTATCCGGATTAGCTTTATGACCCATCTCATTGTAGTTCCATCGTCTGCAGAAACAAAAGTAGGTTTGTTTCCATATTGGCTAGGTTCTGAATGAACTTTAAACAATGTTTCATTTCTATATGTTTTGTTGAAATTTAACCTTTATTTTCACCGAGTTCATCCAAAGATTGAACGTTATATGCTCGTAAGTAAAAAGGATTGTTGTATTTGTGTACACTTTCTTTCAGTTCTTCCATTCTATGCTGGATATTTTCATCTGATGTTGGAGTCTTTTGTATGTCGGCGAACATTTTTCGATATTCTTCTACTATGTCAGCCGAATTTTTCTTAGACTCTTGGAAAGATTCCATATTCCCCGCATACACTTGTTGAGGGTCAAGATTTTTCGGCTGTTCCAAATCTTCATCTAGTTCTGTGAAGTTAGTTTCCAAAGGAGGGACTTGTTTGTTTCCTTCAGGCTCTTCTAGCTGTTGTTGCTGAACTATTTCTTCCATGTCTGGTTGTATCTGAACTTCTTCCTGTGGAGTTTCTTGTACCTCATCTGCTGGCATTTCATATATTCCGAGACCGTTTTTAACAAGTTCCCTATCTAAGTCATCCGGACTCATAAACCTTTCTTCTTTCGTTCCGTCTCTATTTTTTACGCGTTTCATGAAGAGAGTTGAATTATCGTTTAGCTCTGACAACAAATATCTCGGAGTAAATTCAGTCATGTCATTTGGATGATATGCTATTAAATCATATCCCTTAGCGAGCTTGTATTTTCCAGGTTTGAAATTATATCCCATTTGGTGCTGAACCATAAAGCTAAATAGGTTCGGGTCAGTATTTCCTTCCTTGAACTTTCTAATAGCTTCTTTATATCTGTCACTAAAGTCAAGAGTATCTGGGTAACCATAATTTTCCTTAAGCATTTTTAAGAATTCTTGGTTTCCTTGTTCTCTACTTCTTTTATGTCCTTGCTCTGTTTGTGGTTGTGGTGCTGGATTTTGAACTGTTGGTTGTGGTGCTGGATTTTGAACTGTTGGTTGTGGTGCTGGATTTTGAACTGTTGGTTGTGGTGCAGTGTTTTGAACTGTTGGTTGTTGTGTTGGTTGTTGTGTTGGTTTTGGTGCATGCCTGTGTCTGTGTCCATGTGACGATGTAAATGTTTTAGGTAGTCCTGGTGCAGGTGCTTCTCTTGGAGGGTTTGGTGGTATATAAGTTCCACCAGCTGGCACATATGTTCCATCTGCAGCATAATGTCCTACCTGACTTTTCGTTTTTAAGAAAGCATTTACTAGGTCTGTTTTAGTCTGTTGTAACTATTTTTCTTGACTTTCCACAACAGTTGCTCTAACGGCGTCATAGGCACTTTGAACTGCCTGTCTCGTTGCTGCATCTGTTATTTTCGTCATATTTTGTGCTACTTCTCTTAACTCTTTGTCGAAACCTTCAGACTTCAGTTTCTTTCCAGATGAGAAGTCGTTCACTAGTTTCACCTTACTATGAAGAGCTTCGAAGGCGTTCTTAAAGTCAGCATTCATTAAAGCTTCATTTGAACTGTCTTCATCCGCTTGTATTTTTGTCCTTATTGACCCTATAAGTTGGGCTGCTTTAAGCGTTGGCTTGGGCATCTAACCAGTCATTATTAGCTTTATATATTCTGCGCTTTTCATTGCCTTTTGCATGGCTGCGTCGTTATTTTTACTTTCTTGTGCTAAGTTTTCATACTGTACGGTTTGGTTTTGCAACTGTAAAAGTTTTTCTGCCTTTACATTTGCTTCAACTTCTTTTTATACTCATCGCTATCCATATATGTCTTCAGGGCTTTTGTTTTATTTCTTCATCTTTCAGTACTTTATATTGAGTAGTATGGTTTTTCAAATTTTATAACATCTTGTTCCATTTTTTGCTACTTCTGCTGCTTTTTCTGACACTTTTTTCGCATATTCCTCTGTACTTAGTTTCTTTCAGTTGTTCTTCTTTCTTCTTTTCTCTACGTTTAACTCATTGAGTTTCTTTGTGTGTCTGTCATATTCTAGTTTCTTTTCGTTTTCACTTATTTGTTTCTGTATGTCTATGTTTGACTTTTTGACATCTGTTATTTGATTTTTGAGTGAACTCAAATTCATTTGACTTTGAGGGTTATAAGCTGTTCCGTCTGCAGCTCCACCATAGCCTGCCATTTTCGCTAAAAGTGCCGCTCTTAAACCTCCATCTGTGCACCAATAACTCGGCTTAAAAGCATAGGGTTGCTTGACATTTGTTGCAACATAGTGGGGTCATTCATAATTTGTTGTTGCAACTGTTGTTGTGGTGTTAGTTTTACTATTGGATGTTTCAATGCTCCTTCCTCTTACGTATATTCTTACGTAGCTTACGTGGCATTTTAAGTGAAGTAAAAAACGGTTTTTGACAGATGTTTATATGACACTTTTTGTTCAGCACAAAAAACTACTCGGTCAAAGTGTTGTCAGTTTTGTAAAATAACCGTCCTATCTCCGTGCCTATGACGAAGAAATCATGAAAATTCAAGAGGTGAGAAAAGAGGTGAGAAAACAGGTGAGATCTCACCTCTTCACCTAAACTTTATTTTTGGGTCCTTTACACTCATTACGATGAAGAAGTCTTGACAAAACATTTACGAAGAAGTCTTGACAAAACATTTACGAAGAAATCTTGACAAATTCAAGAGGGTAGAAAAGAGGTTAGAAAAGAGGTTAGATCTAACCTTCTACCCTAAACATTATTTTTGGTCATTTACACTCATTACGATGAAGTCTTGACAAAACATTTACGTTCATGTTTGACAAAACATTTACGAAGAAGTCTTGACAAAACATTTACGAAGAAGTCTTGACAAAACATTTACGAAGAAGTCTTGACAAAACATTTACGAAGAAGTCTTGACAAAACATGAAAACATATATAATTTGTGAAAAGCGACACATTATATATAATGTTTTCGACCCAGAAGACTAACAATTTTCCGAATAAAAAACTTCATTTATATTAAACATCATCAGGGCTAGAAGGCACGAAGTGCCTGGAAGCCCCACTACCTTTTTTTTTTTTTTTAATTCTAAGTAGATTTTGTAAAAAATCAAGAAAGAAAAATTTTAACGTGCTTTATTTTTTCTTTTTTATAATAATACATATTATTATATAATTAACATATTCATAATGTTTCACACTTTCAAAAATATAATCCTCCTCCTCTCAAATAAACGTACATACGGGTGGCCTCTTTTTTCAAAAAATTAAAATTTGAAATTTTGGCTCAAATATTAGAGATTTTTTCAACCTTCAACGATATATGTTGTCTATATCAGACCTCCTTTCTTTTTGATACTTAACATTGTTCCTAAATCTTAGCCGTTAAGGCTGTTCTGAAAATATTTTTTTTCGAAAAAATTCGAAAAAATTCTTAAAATTCAAAATCCCTTAATTCCTGAGGATTTTTGAAAAAAGTTTTTACATGAACATGTGTATATTATATGAAGTATATTGATAAGGTAAAAATCAAATTTTATTGCATATTCATCGAGAAAATAAACTAACGAATCCCTCAAAATTGAGAGGGTAATCCTCCTCCTCTCAAATAAACATACATACAGGTGCACCCTTAAATAATATATTATTTTTTAGTCATAAGAATAAAAATATAGTAGTTATAAAAGGAATTAGACTTCATATATCAATTCTTTTTCTCTGTAAATGTGGAACGTTTGCTTTTCGATCTCTTTCGATGAACTTGAAAATATAAGTTATTATCGCTGAGAATCCTTTCCGAAATAGGAGCTTTACGTTTAGGAGGATTGTCGGATGAATTTTGTTTTTTATTGTTTGATTTTGTTGTTATGGAAGATTTTTTCTTATTTTTTTCAGAATTTTGCTTGCTATTAACTGAAACTTGTTTTGACGGCCCAACAATAGCATTTGTAGTAGGAAGAATTCCCAATAACGAGCGCATTTTCGATAATTGTTTTTCAATATGATCAAGAAGGTCCAGCTTATGTTCTAGATTACTAGACATTTGATTTGTAGAAGGATGGTTTTGATTTTCTGGTTCTAAATCTGTAGAGTCTGCAATATTTGAATTTTCGGAGCGAATTGGAGCATCTGAACCTTGATTTGTATCGGCTTGCTCAAAATTAGTTTGAATTGGAGTGGATGAATTAAAAGTTAGTATGGTTATCTCGTGTACGGTGGCACTGCATTCCTCCGTACGCAATACTTGTGAATTTGACACTTTACAAAACCGTTAACATATATTTTACAACACAAACGACAACACCAACTTAACCTTAAATATTTATAAAGCCGCCAACCACTTCACCTTACTACTGTAAAAATAAGCGTTCTCACTTACAAAAGTATTGCAACTCCTCCCATTGCTGTGCTTCACATAACAGCTCATAATCTTCTGACTCACTTTCTTCTTCATATAGGTCAAAGTCACTGTCAAAATAAATGTTAGTAAGTTTTGACAAAGCTAATGAAACACGTTTACCGTTTGTATCGTATGCTTGTATAAACTTTCCATTCTTCATTCCTTCATAAACGCTCAAACTAACTTTACCCTTTCTCCCTCGTATCTGATAGAATGTATTTTCACGAGGAACGAAGAACAAATTCTTGAACTCATGACCGTTGTAGTTTGTTATCTCAATAGTTTTCGTCATTTACATCCAAATAAAAATTTTCAGTAAAAATAAAAAATAAACTTAAAAATAAATGATATCACCACTCCCACACGTATGAAAACATAGCGCAAAAATAAATTTAGGTGAAGCGGTGAGATTTCACCTGTTTTTTCACCTCTTTTTTCACCCTGTTGAATTCATTGTTTTATAACTCTCTTCCTTTCTCCAACTCTTCTAACTTCTTCCTAAGTTCAGCAATGTTGTCCTCATGAAGTTTAATCTTTCTCAAAATTCCTTCTTTATCTAATGGTTGCTTTATCTTTCTAAACTGAACTCTACCATCCTTCATAGTATGAATGTAAAAACCTTCTGGAATAGTTCCTGATTTAATGTATTCTACCAAAAACTTTTGTTTCATTGCTTCAGTGACTTTATTTGTCATTTCAATCAAATAAAAATTTTAATATTAAATAAAAATAACGTTATTTTTCAGTAAGGAAACGCAGGAGTTTTACGATTTATTTGAGGAGTAGGTTCTGGTTTAAATGTTGGAGTCGGTTTAGGAGTTGACTTTTGAACAGGAGTTTGTACTTCCATAGGTTCAGGAGTCATTGAAGGTTTTGCTTGTGAAGGTGTCGGAGTTTGTTTAACTTCAGCTACTTCAGTATTATTTACAACATTTGCTTTATTTCTTTTCAACATCATTACTGCTCCTGCTGTAGCTAGCAAACCTAGTGGGAGACCATATTTTATATAAGGACTTGACCAAATGCTATTTTTGACAGGAGCTGGTGGAACACCTAACCTTGGTGAGACTGCTCTTTGCCATTGTGCAGCTCGTAAGAAATATTCAATAGGTGCTCCATAATCGTTTGGTAAAGTTTGTTTCATAGATGTGAAGGTTCGCGAGAACTTGATGAAGAATCATTTATAAGCTTTAAAAATAACGTTCATCCTTTATTCCTCACTGTCGTCAGTTGCTAAGTTATAGTCATCTAATCTTATTATGGGGATGCCATTAGCACGCACACTGAATGGCAAGAGCAACAATCCCTCATAAATCCAATAAGTGGCTTTGGTACGTTTTCAGTTGCTAGTTTCAATAGGTCCTTTAACAGACAATTTGTATGTTATTGGAGGTAGATGTTTGACCTTGCTGGAAGCAAAAGTCCACTTCTGTTGGAAAACCACATAAGAATGTGTGTTGTCATAGCTTCCCATTTATGTTCCACACTACATCATCACCAATGACCTCATCATCTTCATTAAAATCCTCATATCATTGTTTGTATTGCAAGCGTTCGCAACCATATTCATAAAATACAGGTCCATATGATTTTTCAGGTTCTGCAGGCATATTTCCATAAGCTCCCATGGAAAGCTGAAGATATTTAAACTTAGGGTTCTCAAAATTAACATAATAGTTGTCTTTCTTTCTAAATAGTGCCCAAAACTTTTAACATTAATAGGCGTATAAGCTGCTGTAAATGTTGCACTTGAACTATCT